CACAGGTTTCAAAGCATGGCCACTCCACGGTTCTGGGATTCAGGAATAACCTCTTCAGAAGCAATTTAACAAATAGTCTTGAGTAGCAGATGCGACACTAGATGCACTTACCTCCTTAAATGGCTTAGATTGCAATCCTGGTGTGTCTTAGATTGCACCCGATTGCGCGCCACCGCAATTGCCTTTCTCAATAATGTCCCCTTTGCTGACATTTTTATCCATCACTACGTCATTATTTATAACGATGCAGCAGATAATCTACTAGGACACACTGTCTTATTATTTGCAGTAAGTAGCACCCCAAAGACCCAGCCTTTTAAATAGGGGCACTGCTTTATTGTCACCTAGAGTGGAGAAGCCATAAGGCATCTCTCGAAGAACAGGAGAGGGTTACTTGCCTTGTGAAGTAATTGACTTTCTTTAACATGCGTGTTCCAATGGACTTTCCACCCTCCCTCCTCCCCTCTTCTGAACCATAGGCGCTGTGGTAGAGAAGGAGCTGGGGAGAGGTGGACCGCACAGTTAGATCTGTAAATGAGGCTCGGGCGTAAGATGGGGGGGGAGGGAGCGTGCGCATCCAGGGGTGTAATCAGGAAGGCCAAAATACAACTGGAGTCGCAGCTATCAAGGGATGTGAAAGGTAACAAGAAGGTTCTAGAACTATCATAACAAAAAGAAAAGGGTCAGGGAAAGTGTGGGACCCTTAATGAATTGGGGAGGCAACCTAGTGATAGGTGATATGGAAAAAGCTGAAGTACTCAATGCTTTTTTTGCCTCGATCTTCACACACAAGGTCAGCTCCCAGACAGCCTCACTGGGCAGCACAGGATGGGGAGGAGGTGAGCAGCCCTCAGTAGTGAACGAACAGGTGAAGGACTATTTAGAAATGCTGGATATGAACACGTCCATGCAATCCATCTGAGAATGCTGAGGGTTGACTGATGTGAAGGTGAAGGACAACCTGAGAAACTGCAGACTGGTGATCAGGAACAGTCAACATGTAGTCACCAAGGGCAAGTCATGCCTGACTAAGCTAATCTAATTGCCTTCTGTGACGAGATAACTGGCTCTGTGTATGAGGGGAAAGCAACCGACGTTATATATCTTGACGTTAGCAAAGCTTTTGATACGGTCTCCCACAGTTAAAGAAGTTACGGCCAGCAAGTTAAAGAAGTATGGGCTGGATGAATGGACTATAAGGTGGATAGAAAGCTTGCCAGATTGTCGGGCTCAACGGACTCCATGTCTAGTTGGCAGCCGGTATCAAGCGGAGTGCCCCAAAGATCGGTCCTCGGGCCGGTTTTATTCGAAATCTTCATTAATTATCTGAAGGATGGCGTGGACTGCACCCTCAGCAAATTTGCAGATGACACTAAACTTGGAGGACAGCTAGATACGCTGGAGGGTAGGGATAGGATACAGTGGGGGAGGTTTAAGTTGTATATTAGGAAAAGCTTTTTCAGTAGGAGGGTCTTGAACTACTGGAATGGGTTACCTAAGAAGGTGGTGGACTCTCCTTCCTTAGAGGTTTTGAAGGTTAGATTTGACAAAACCCTAGCTGGGAGGATTTAGTTGGTGATTGAGCCTGCTTTGAGCAGGGTTAGATTAGATGACCTCCTGAGGTCCCTTGCAAGCCTAATAGTCTATGCTCATAATGGTCCCATCTGACCTTAACACCTGAGAATCAGTCAAAAAGCAGCATACGGTTAGCGTTAACCTCCATCTCTGTGTATTTTCAGTGTAAAGCAAGAGAGGCTGAACCCCTGTGATTAAGCAGAAAAAGAGAGATCGGCATAGTTAGCTTTATTCTAAAAAAGTTCAGTGTAGAACGAAAAGAAAAAGAGAACTTGTGGCGCCTTAGAGAGGAACAAATTTATTTGAGCATTTAGTCTCTAAGGTGCCACACGTCCTCCTTTTCTTTTTGCGAATACAGACTAACACGGCTACTACTCTGAAACCTGTTAGAACAAAGTGACTCTGTGATTCTTTTCCATTCTCACCTCCCAGCATTGGTGTGGGTTTTCTGCAGTATATGACCGGGGGGGCGGCTTTGTCCTTTCTTAGGAGAAAATTATTCTCCTGCAAGTGCGAGGTGTGCTTCGGGGGAGTAGAGCAGCACTAGTGAAGTGTCTTTCCTATCCTCTTCAGGGCAGGATGGCTTAAGAGGCTAAATGACCAATATCCTGCAACACTTTTCATTGCTTGTTCTTCGTCTGTGCCAACTGCCAGAGACAGGTTGTCCACTGGCCACTACCCTCCATAGCCAGCGGAACATGCCCTCCGAAGGCTCTCGAATGATGAGCAGTGTAGCTGCAGCCCAAGAGAACCTTCCTCTCAGCTTCCATCCATGCTGCCAAATCCAACGCTAAAGAGCTTCGTTTCATCAATCCCAAGTGCCTACAGCCTGCAACAAAACTCTGCCAAAAGCATCATGGATCTGCTCCCCCCCCCCCCCCCAAACCCACCAAACTAAGAGAGTACAAGCACATTAAAGCAGTCCTGGCTATGCTAAAAGAGTCTCAACCCTACAGCTGTGGCTCTGACCCCATTCCCATACTCGCTGGTGAAAGTTATAAGTAAGGATACAATTTAGTCACGGGCTACAGGCAATAAACAAAAAGTCTTGGCCTGTCCATGACTTTTACTAAAATACCCCTAGTTATGCGTTAGGTACTGGGCGTGGGGGGTGAGGGGGTGCACTCCTCAGACACCGCTGTTCCTGGGAGGGCGGCATCAGTATATGCTTCTGCTTCTCGGCTGCAGGTGGCCCCTACTGCTTCGGGTGGAGGGAGGCATGGGGCCCCGCTGCTGCTCCTGGACTACTGTTCTGGGACAGTTCCCGGGACCAGCTGCCTGGGGCCACCCAAGCAGTGACCGGTACGTCTGCCCTGGGGTCACCCTGCACCGGCTGCTCTGGAAGTCACAGACTTCCAGGAAAGTCAAAGACTCCATGACTCCTGTGACTTACATGAACGACTGGCAGCCTTAGTTATAAGCAGTTGAAGCCACTCGTGAAGAACTGGTCAACTGATCATTAGGGAGGGACTCGTCCCTTCCTGCTTCAAACATGCAGTGAAATCCGACCGACACTGACGAAATCTGAATACATTGGTTCTAGCCAACTGCCTCCTTATGTCAAAAGTCTCATTCCTGACCACGCTGATACGGAAGCTAACAAAAGGTCAGTAGCAAGTCCATCTAATGAGGCCAACATTCCAGTCGCAGCACACTCCGGAGTCAGGCACTGATATGGGATGGAAACAGCTCTAAGGGCACTGATGTATGAAGTATGTAAATGGATAAAGAGAGACATTCATTCTAATTCTCCTGGATATTTCTGCAGCTTTCAACACTGTTGTCTATGTACTGCCTGAGAGAGGTGGCAGACATCCAGGAGTTTAAGCACGGTCAGCGAGTGAAGCATCCTTTCGCGGAGCTAGCTCCCCATCCTGCCTCTTCCAACTGGGAGTTGAGCTACAGAATGGCGACAAGCTCAGTCTAATACATTTGTCAAGTAATGATTCATGTGTTTTAAAATGTCTATAACTACATTGCTATGAGGATGGCTTGCATTTTGCCAATTTTATTTAGACAGGAAGTACATTTAGGCTGGCTAATACTGAGATACTATCCTGAATTCATACAGGTCGTACTGAACGTATGCCTCCTGAGCTGGGCTGGCACCAGCCCAAGCAGGGCATCCCAGAGATGTAGTGAACCAGTGCAGCTTCCAGCCAGTGTCAGTATGCGGTGCTCCTGTGGTGCCCCAAGCATAAATTTCCAGTGGAATGGCAAGAGAAAGGGAGAGGGTGAAGTCTGCCCTAATGTTAGAACTGCCCTGGTAGTGCAGGATGGTGCAGATTGCAGCCCCTACTGCACTGGAGGGAGTCAAACCCATACTGTCCTAATCTCAGAGGGTTACTACACTAGTAGATAACTGCTCACGGTTTGGAGTCCTCCTGATACAGCTTGTATAGACTTTTTACAATCAAACAGTTCACTTGATCAAGTTTAAATCCACCTTTTGTGATGGTGGAATAGATGCAGAGAAGAGATACCAGGTGATCAAGGGAACAGAGCCATAGTGCTTTTTAGAACTTAGACTCAGGTATGACAAAACCCAAGGTTTTCTCTCCTTTCTCTCCTTGACTGTGATCTGTGCATGACAGCCCAAATTCAGGAAGCTTCCGATTAGGAAGGAGATGTTTTGTTCAGTCAGCTGTTTTGAGTAAAAAGCTTTGCTTTCTTCTTTTCGTTTGTAAGATATGTTAGTTTCTTAACAAAGATGGAATGAAGTTTAACCTTTTGTAGATAACTAGGTACTTTCAGTGGAGGCAAACATTTAATAAACATATGATAATGCTTTTATACTATTTTTCTAATTCATCCGCATACGATGATGACTAACGTGTAAGGAGACAAACTCCCAATATTGACGACTAACAATTACATCCTAATTATTTATGTCTAGCTTTAAATATTTCATTTATCGGCCTATTTGCCAAAGTATATGAGATGCGTCATTAGCAATAGATACGGAGCCTAAGGGTATGCAGTAAAAGAAAATGGACGCTGTAGTAAGAGGACATATTATAACTGGGTCAAGACCTATATTTTTCGTTGGTTTTTAAATTACAGAACCCGATACTATAACAGCCTACACGTGCAAAAGAATCAGTAGAAAATATGTGTTTGTAGCTTTTATGACATTCCCACATTTATCTTTCCTCTTCACATTTCATGAAGCATTTTCTTGATAGAGGTTTTGATGTTGCGATTCATTTCGAGCAATTTTTGGTTTAGGCTCAAGATGTCGCTGTTGTCTACAGTTACGGACAAGGATCGCGGATGATTTGTCCCTTTCACAGTGCAGTCAGCAAAGCAAGTCACTAAAGACAACGGTCACCACACGAGTAAACAGGCAAAGGTAACAGAAAGGTATTTTCAAAGGAATGTATCTGTATATTTTAATTATTTCTTTATTTTGTTGCACAACATAGTGAACCACAGCGAGGCAGAGACAAGAAACGATCTTATTGCCAAGCCTTTATGAAGCGGTTACTCTGAAGAACAGAAGCAAACTAAGATGTCGGACTCAGGGCTGGTACTTAAGAGACCTATTTACTGCATGCTGGTTCTGTGTGTCTGTCTCTGAAGAGGCTCGTTACTGAGTGTCTGAAGCGCTAGCCTGGTGCTTTTATGGGGAATATGGCCGAGGATCTAGAACTGGATAATATCAGAAACCTGCCAGCTCGCAGGCTGCGGACTGTGTCAGGAAAAGAGACTTTGTGGAGCTGAAAATGCAGAATGGAGCCCTGATCGTCACTGTGAAAATGGACAGAGCAGAGCTGCGTGGGCGGACAGTACGTTGTGCACTGAAATTTAAGATTGTGGTTGAAAATCTTGCAATGTAGTATGTGGAACTAGAAATCCTGGATGATTTCCCCACGTGGCTGAATCTGTTTTAGTGGGCAGTGTACTTCCTATAGTAGGGCTCAAGATCCTCTTGGTGCCGATTCTTTGCTCACCTATGAGATTTGGGCAAATGCACACTTTGCTTTGAAAGTAGAGAATCGTGGCGGACATAATAAAGTGCCAATTTTAATACTGGAAGAGTCATTGGACAGAGAAAAAGGATCGACTCAGAATCGAATAACAGCAGCTAAACACAATGGGGCTCCCCAAAGATCTGGCACCCTCCAGATGAGTATCACTGTGCTGGAGTCTAACAATAACGCCCCTGCATTTGATGGAAACATCTACACTATCTGCCTAGTGGAGAATGTGGACAAAGGCATCCTGGTTATTGACTGAATGGCACCGATTTAAACGAAGGAGGAAATGGAAGGATAGAGGAAATTGTTGGCAGCAACACGACAATCAATGTTCAGAAAATGTTTTCTATCGATCCTGATAACGGGGAGTTAGGGGTGGAAGGTGAAGTGAATTGTGGAGAATATAATGTGGGAGTGCAGGCGCGGGAGGGAAGTCAGTTAGCGTTGCACAGTTCTTGTAAATGTTGTGAATGGCAATTACAATGTCCCAGCAGTGACGGTAAATTCCCTTTCTAATCCTATCGGGGAAGACACTGCAGCTGGGACGATGGTCGGTCTGCTCAGCGTCATAGACCAGGGCTCCGAAGACAACGGGAAGATCAGCGGCCACATTCTGCAGAACGTACCGTTTCAGCTGCTGTCCCCTGCGGAAAACACATTCTCCTTGGTGACCAGCGGCGTCTTGGGCAGGGGGGCGGCCACCTACAACATCTCTATAGTTGCCTGTGATTGCGGCTCCCCTCCCCTATGCCCTATATAGCAGGGGAACCCTCCCAGTGCGCATTTCTGATGTAAGTTACATCACAAGGGGTGGCAGTCACCCCTTCCCCAGGCCAGAAGCCTGAGCCTCAGACTCTTTGGTGTCCCGCCTTGATCCAGGGCCTGGGCTAATTGACTGTTTGTTTCCCTGCCAGCCTGAGCACAGGCCTGGGCCCCCAGCTGCAAGTGGAGACTGCTTCGTTCCCCACGGTGGCTGAAGTATCATTCACGTAGTGAGGCAGAGTGGCCTCCTGAGGACCCAGAGTGGGAGTGTCCCCGATTGAGCCACTACAATACATATAGTAATTGTAAAGTTCTTCTTTTAGGCTTGTAGCTGTGATGGAATAAACTGCTGTCTTAAGGCAAGTCTCTGGCTGCTTCCAAATCATTGAAAGGTCCTCAGTCCACGGGTTAGAATGCGCCCATTAGTATAGTCCAGAGGCTTGGGCAGGATAGAGGCTGGAGCAGGATAGAGGCAAAATGGAGGGGTTTCCAGGGCCATTTATATCCTCTGCCATGTGGAGGGAAACCCATTGCTTCAAACAGAAACCTCAGCCCAGCTAGTAGAGAATCACAGGTGACCAGATAGTGTTTGGAGTCACATGGGCAAGTCACATGTTCATGCCCAGTTTCGCTCAGTCATTGCAGGAGGCCACTACCTATTTTCCAGGTAGCACATTTGCAGGACAGTCCACTCAATGTAGATGGGTGTCTACTATGGTCCCTTGTGAGTTAAGTGTCCTTTTGACGGGCCACTCAATTTGAATAGTCCCTCCAAGATGTGCTGGCTAACTACTTCATGAGCATTACCGCAGGAGCAAACATTTGAAATCCAGGTATAGAGCCAATGTTCATAATTTCAAATACAAAAGTAATACATGATTACAGATAGCATAATCACAATCTGTGACTCATAACCTTTTCATAGACATCTTACATGCCACGTTTTACACAAGATGTGTTGCAAATATATAACTGTGGTTGCAACAATGATCTACATGATCATATTTTAATCGGGTAAGGTCACACATGTGTTCTATATATAAATCTACAGTATTTACAGCTATATAATCTCTCTCCATGTATCGCAGATAGTCAGATCTACCACTCTAGGGGTATCTATCATTGCTGTGTGACCTTGAACATCAGTGCCCCTCAGTCCCTCCTATTCTCTCCCTGTAGCAAATAATTGTTTAGTTTTAAGTGGGCTGTGATACTTTGGTCTAATTTTGGCTGTTGTGTTTAGTGTGTGGGTGCTGGGTGGTGCTGGTGGCCTGTGATACACAGGAGGTCACACTAGAAGACCTGGTTGCCCCCTCTGGCGTTTGACTCTGTGATTCTTTGCTTTTTGAATATTGCTAGTAGATGGATGAAATTAAAATCAAATGCTAACTGCTAATTTTTAAAAACTATTGCCTTTTTGATAGAATCAACACATTCGCTGTAATAATCCATTTAGACTCAAGCTGTCGCTGCTGTCCATCACGATCATACTAGCTTTCCCTACGCAGAACACTCTTCTAGTAAAGGCAAACACTGAAGGGATTTTTGCTGTGGGAACAGATGACAAAGGGAAAAACAAGGAAAAGACTCGATGTTAGCTTTTCGCAATTGAGTTATACCAAAGCATTCCACTGAAATCTGAAATAGTCTTGTTCTTCGGCAGAAGATACTGAACAAGGCTTTATTTGTGGAGAGGTTGACACTCTGAAGGGGATAAATGAAAGCAGATATCGGGTTCGGAAATAGCCCTTCTTTCCTTTCTTTCTAACCTATTCTGCTTTTGTTCTGCAATCGCTGGATGGGATGCTATTCGGTACTGTAGATGCTATTCGGTTCCCGCGAATTAGAGCCTGGTACCTTTATTATAGGGAATATTGCCGATGAGCTGGGGCTGGGTATCAAACATGTCTCCTCGCCGCGGCGGATTGTGTTCTGTGCAGGGAACTGAAGAGAAGTGAATTTGCAGAATGGGGCCCTAATTGTCAGTGAGACGATGGACAGAGGAGAGCTATGTGGGCGAACAGGAAGCTGTCAGATGAAATTTGAGGTTGTCATTGAAAATCCTCTCTCCTACACTATTGTCGGCTGGCAGTCCTGGTTACAAATGACAGCTCGCGCAGATTTCTCCAGAGTGGAGAAGTATCGCTCCCAGGAGCTGAGTCAGCAATGCCTGGCACGGTGTTCCCACCAGCCGGCTCTCACGATCCGGATGTTGGGAATACTTCTTTGGCCCCTTACAAACTTACGAGAAGTGAGCATTTGCTTTAAAAGTACATACGTGTCGTGAATGGAATCAAATCCCAATGTCAGTGTTACAAAAGTCACTGCAGGGAGAACAAGAGCCGATCCAAAATATCACTGTAAAAGCGAAAGACAACGGGATTTCCCAAAGATACGTCTGCGTCGGTGTGCTGGATTCCAACGCTGCCGGTCCCGTGCTTGGTTAAAACAGCTACGCTGCCAGACTAGCGGAGGATGTGGTCAAAGACGCATTGATTATTCAGCTGAATGCTACTGATGTATTTGAATGGAAGAAAAGAGTACACTTTGGGCACTAACGCTGCACCTGAAGTGCAGAGAATATTTTCTACTGAGCGTGATACCGGGCAGATACTGGAAGGGGGGGGGGGGTGGATTTTAAGAAAAGGTGCAGAATATGATGTGGAAATGCAGGCGCGGGAGGAAAGTCAGTTACTATTGGCATGCCATTGCAGTTCTTGTAAAGGTTGTGAATGGCAATGGCAATGTCCCAGCAGTGACGGTAAATTCCCTTTCTAATCCTATCGGGGAAGACACTGCAGCTGGGACGATGGTCGGTCTGCTCAGTGTCATAGACCGGGGCTCCGAAGACAACGGGAAGATCAGCGGCCACATTCTGCAGAACGTACCGTTTCAGCTGCTGTCCCTGCGGAAAACACATTCTCCTTGGTGACCAGCGGCGTCTTGGGCAGAGCTGCGGCCGCCGCCTACAAGGTCACTATAGTCGCCCGGGATTGCCGCTCTCCTCCTCTGCCTCGCAGGGAATCCCTCCGAGTGAGAATTTCCTATGTAAATGACAAGGTCCCCTGCTTCGAATCGGCCTCTTACACTGGGGAGCCGCGGGTGTCGAGGGAAAGTGCCCCGCGCTGCGAGCTGCGGGCACTTGGCTCACAGGCTGCGGGTTTCTGAGGGCGATCTGGGCTGTCACACGTGGCTCTCCTTCCAGCGGGCCGCTGACCGCAGCCTGTTCCGGGTGGGGCTGCACATGGGGAATCAGAACGCTGCGGCTGGGGAGCGAGGCCGGTGACTGTGGTGAAAGATCAGGGAGACCCAGTGCTTTCTACAGCCATAACCGTCACCCTGAACCGATCGAGCAGCTCACCGAGGGTTTGTCTTATATGACAGTGTGACTGATAGTCACCCTGGGGTGCATTTCCTTTATTTTCTTATTCAAACTAAGACAGACTCCAGAACCCTGCCTTTTGAGACAGACACACTAGCCTGCTGCAACCCACACCCAGGATCTGGGCCAACCGATGCCTCCTAAATTGGTTTGTGAGATCATCTTCACACTCATACAGTGCAGAGCAGCTGGTCCTTAACCAGATACACTCTGCACATTAACCTCCTAGAGCTACGAGCAGTCCGCAATGCCTGCAGACACTTTATCCCAATGATCGCACACTGAGTCATGTCTACCTCAACAGGCGACGTCCCACTCTCTGCTCTGAGGCACCAAAAGTACGCAACGATGTATCCAAAACGGCATCGCCATCTCAGCCGCATACCTCCCTGGACACCAAAACATCACTGCAAACTGGAGGGGATTTTTCCCACGATCAAGAATGGGAACTCGACACGTGAGTCCTTCATTACATCTTCATCTGCTTGGGATTCCCCACCACAGACATCATTGCCACTCCGGAGAACATTTGCCCTCAAAATTGTGCTCTAGAGCGCGCCTGGGACATGGATTCCTACGAGATGCATTCCGCATCACATGGGATGCTCTATTAGAAGTGTGAGCAACAAGAGTGATGTAGTGGTGGGAGTCTGCTATAGACCACCGGACCAGAGGGATGAGGTGGACGAGGCTTTCTTCCGGCAACTCGCAGAAGCTACTAGCTCGCAAGCCCTGGTTCTCATGGGTGACTTGAATTTTCCTGATATCCGCTGGGAAAGCAATACAGCGGTGCATAGACAATCCAGGAAGCTTTTGGAAAATGTGGGGGACAATGTGCAAGTGCTTAGAGGAGCCAACTACGGGGGAGCTTTTCTTGACCTGCTGCTCACAAACCAGGAAGAATTAGCGGGGGGAAGCAAAAGTGGATGGGAATTTGGGAGGCAGTGACCATGAGTTGGTTGAGTTCAGGATCCTGACACAGGGAAGAAAGGTAAGCAGCAGGATAGGGACCCTGGACTTCAAGAAAGCAGACTTCGACTCCCTCAGGGAACGGATGGGTAGGATCCCCTGGGGGACTAACATGAAGGGGAAAGGAGTCCAGGGGAGCTGGCTGTATTTCAAGGAATCCCTGTTGAGGTTACAGGGACAAACCATCCCGATGTGTCGAAAGAATAGTAAATATGGCAGGCGACCAGCTTGGCTTAACGGTGAAATCCTAGCGGATCTAAAACATAAAAAAGAAGCTTACAAGAAGTGGAAGGTTGGACATATGAGCAGGGAAGAGTATAAAAATATTGCTCGGGCATGTAGGAATGAAACCAGGAGGGGCCAAATCGCACCTGGAGCTGCAGCTAGCAAGAGCTGTCAAGAAGGGTTTCTTCAGGTATGTTGGCAAGAAGAAGAAAGTCAAGGAAAGTGTGGGCCCCTTACTGAATGAGGGAGGCAACCTAGTGACAGAGGATGTGGAAAAAGCTAATGTACTCAATGCTTTTTTTGCCTCTGTCTTCACTAACAAGGTCAGCTCCCAGACTGCTGCGCTGGGCATCACAGCATGGGGAGTAGATGGCCAGCCCTCTATGGAGAAAGAGGTGATTAGGGACTATTGAGAAAAGCTGGATGTGCACAAATCCATGGGGCCGGACGAGTTGCATCCGAGAGTGCTGAAGGAATTGGCGGCTGTGATTGCAGAGCCATTGGCCATTATCTTTGAAAACTGGTGGCGAATGGGGGAAGTCCCAGATGACTGGCAAAAGGCTAATATAGTGCAAATCTTTAAAAAAGGAAAGAAGGAGGATCCTGGGAACTACAGGCCAGTCAGCCTAACCTCAGTCCCCGGAAAAATCATGGAGCTCATGATTCTTGCTCAAAGAATCAATCCTGAAGCACTTACATGAGAGGAAAGTGATCAGGAACAGTCAGCAGGGATTCACCAAGGGAAGGTCATGCCTGGCTAATCTAATCGCCTTCTACGATGAGATTA